GGAGAGGTATGGAAAGACTGCTGAAGAAAGAAGCATTGAATGGCTAACAGATGATGTGTACGTGTCTGGCATACATTTTCTCTCCCACTATAGAGCAAACATTATTAAAACATTCACGAGTTCTCCTCTTCATGTTACAAACCCACACATATGCATGTTGTGCAGTCAAGGATGTACCAGTTTCTTGTTTTGGGGTTATTCGTTTTGTAAAAACAGATCACCCATTGTAATATTCAGATCATCAAATAATGCAGCAGGTCCTGCTCTTTTCATCTCTAACAATAACAATAACTCAACGCCATCATATGCACCAATAGCCTCCAAACCAAATAACCTAATATAGGGTGTGTTCACAATTGGAAGGTTTGGTTTATTTAAAAATAAACCCTGGTGTGATTGCTTTGTTAGTGTGGTTGATTTGAATAAGTGTGAACGCTGCTCATGAAACATGAAGACCAAGACTCCCTGAAAAGGTGGGTCTCTCAGTCTGCTTTTTTAAACAAACTCTGGTGCAGTTTGACTGATATATAAATGCAAGTGCAATGTGGACCAATATATTAATATATTTACCCATATATTTATGATCAATATATTCCCTTACGCAAAGAAAATATATGTTAAAGAAAATGGTGTTATATATATGAATGATCAATATATTAAATGATTTAACGATATATTGAAAATAAAAAGAATAATATAATGTGTTAATATATTACAATACATTGCACAAGGATTTGCAGCTTTCATAATTCACGGTTCGGTTCGATACGACACAGTGGTGTCACGGTTCGGTAAGTTCGGTACGGGGGAAATTGGTTACGTAGCAATGTTGGAAATATTTCTGTTTTAAACCATGAAGGCGACCCAATGGATATCACACAGAATCAACGTGCAAGTTATGCCGGTGAACGTCTTAATCTCAGTCAATTCACTATACAGAGAGTGAAAGTAAAAACGGAATGAAGGAGTAATGACGGAGCTTTAGGCATCTGACGCCGCATATTCTCTCAGAGATGAAGAGACGAATCGCGTGTTAAACAGGTTGTTTTTGAGAGTCGGTGCTAGAAATAGGCCTATAGGCTAAGCTTTTTATTTTAATGATTTTTATTGATGACTGCAGTGTTAATATTTTAATTAAAGACCTATAATTCATTGTATAATAGACCTGTTTTAAAAGACCTTTTTTTAAAAGGTAAATAGCTTAATCTTTTGTTATCCTCGCAGCGCGTCAGTTATGCGGTAATTATT